TGTGTGTGTGTGTGTGTGTGTGTGTGTGTATGCAGAATGTAATCTCTGTTGACAGAAAAGATAAACCTAAATGTGTTTTATTTTTTTCACAAATTCTTCACAGAGTGAAATAAATGGCTGGAATTTTGTTTGAAGACATATTTGATGTAAAAGACATTGATCCCGATGGCAAAAAGTTTGACAGAGGTATGTAATAACAATGTTATAAAAATTAGAAATCAGACAACAGCTAAGTGCACACTTAGTAGCTACATTTTTCAACTACCTTTTGATATATATATATATATATATATATATATATATATATATATATATATATATATATATATATGTGTGTGTGTTTATCTAGTAAGTCAAGGTTAAACAATTGAAACTTGCTGTGTGTATAAAATAAATAATCACAGTAAAAGTAGTGTTATGTAGACAATCCTTGGAGCTTCTGTAATTAACATTTTACTGTAAACACTGGAAACATTGCTAAAAACAAGTTCCCTCAGTGGTTTTCTTCTCATTCTCAGCCACACTCACGGCTTCTTCTGTAAAAAAACATGTCTTTTTTGTTTGTTTGTTTTATTAAACCAGATTTGTAAGTTTTTAAAGCCGTCTTAAGCAGCAAATCATACCATCCTGATGCATGCTCAATAATCCAGGTAGAAAAATCTAAAAAAGTTAAATCTGGTCCTCTGGACATTCAAAAAACAAAACAAAGCAAAACAACAACAACAAAAAAATGTAGAAACATTCGTCTTTCATCCAAAACCCTAACCCTCCTTTGGTTTGAGAGAGGAGTAAAGGAGGCCATCTTTGTGAAAAGAAATCGTCCATCATTAAACAGGGGTGGAGGCCTCTGGGTTCAACTGTCCCCCTCTTACAATGCTGTGATTGCTAGTATCACTCAATCCCCTGTGAATAGTAAACAGCCATCAGTGTGCTAATGACCCATTGTTAGGCTGATGGTCCTTCTTGAGCATGTGATCAGCTGGTTTTGGTTGTCAGCAGCAAACTGGTTGATCCACTGTGAGAAGGTGCTATTTATAAGACTGAGCTGAATACAGCACCTCAGACTGAGGAAGTCTTTCGGATGGAAGACGAAACGTTTTTACATTTTTGTTGTTTTGTTTTGTTTTTTGAATGTCCACAGCAAATCATACATTTTTAACAACTGTTTTAGGTTTTTGACTATTTGGCTCTTTTCCTATCCCAATTCTCTACTTGGCAGATTTGAGAGGAAACGTTTAATTTATTTGCTTGTATGCTCACACAGATCTAAGACTCATTCAGACATAAAAGTTTCCTAACTCAAGGAAAGCTTCTGTATTGTGTCCATACATACAAGCAGCACACGATACACATAACCTATTGTAATTTTCATCTTTTGGCTCTTTACTAGCAGCCTGTAACTAAAACATTTGTTTTGATTTTCCAGTTTCAAACCTTAATTTAATCTGAAAAACAGAATAAAATTAAGATACACAGTTTCTAAAGGGTTTAATATGCATATATTGATATTTAGTTACTTACCAAACAAGCAAGAACAAAAAAAGAAAAAAAAACTTTGAAAATGAGAACTGGACTAAATGACTAAAAAAGCAGCAACAATTTATCATTTTAAAACATTACAGGGAAGTTTGGTTAATTGAAAACAGCAAAATCTATATATAGTCATAATTTGAGCTAATCTGCAATATTATGTTTATTGTAGTGTCTCGGCTACATTGTGAAAGTGAATCTTTCAAGATGGACCTCATCTTGGATGTGAACATTCAGATTTATCCTGTGGATCTTGGTGAGACAGTAACCTTTTTGTTCAAAATATTGTTTAGTTCATGTTAAATTTTAATTTGACTTAAAATGTCATGAATAAAGCCTAAGCCAGGGGGATCATTTTCAGAAAGAGCTGTTATATGTTTATTTTTACTGTCCATTTCATCAAGGTGACAAGTTCAGACTGGTGATTGCCAGCACATTATATGAAGATGGAACACCAGATGATGGAGAGTACAATCCTCAGGATGACCGGCCTTCTCGGTAAGACAATTACCAATTGTACATTCTTTCCTCATACTATATTACAAACGTGATTTTTTTTTGTTGCTGTTTTTGAAGTTTTTACTCTATGGTCTTTTTTATTTTTATTTCTAGAGCCGACCAGTTTGAGTATGTGATGTATGGAAAAGTCTACAAGATTGAAGGTGATGAGACTTCAACAGAAGCTGCCACACGTCTGTAAGTAAATCGTTTTCAACAGAACATTTTAAATTTTTAAAAAATACCATGGGTTATTTTGCTGTTATGTATTAAATATCATTGATAAATTTAATAATTTAAAATGTTATCATGTTGCGTTAATCTTATTCTACTGATGTGCTTGATTTTTCAGCTCTGCCTATGTGTCTTACGGAGGTCTCCTCATGAGGCTGCAGGGAGATGCCAATAACCTTCATGGCTTCGAAGTGGACTCCAGGGTCTACCTCCTCATGAAAAAACTGGCCTTCTGAACTGTGGTCTGCTCACCAACCCACCGATATTCTGCCACTGTCATGGTTACCTTCCACGTCACAGTAAAATGAGTACCAAAACATTCAAGTCTGGAGAATCAGAGCAGCTTTCAGACATAACACATGGGTTTTTGAAACTTAATTTTTTTTTTGTTGATTTATATAAAGGTATTTCCAAGGAGATTGTAATGCACTGTCTCAAAAAAATTTGTTGCGACCTTAATCTACCATACTTGCAAACTGTAAATAAAAGTTCCTTTTTTATATAAAAAAAGAGTTACCTTTGATTTCACCTTTATTTTTTTTTTGTGTAGTTAATTTCAGCACGTGTTTTTTAAAATTATTATTTTACCATTATGTCTCAGAAAAGACTAAGGTGGACTTTAAACAAGTTTATTCTCTGTTGCTTCACATCAACAAGAATGTAAAATGAGGATAAATGGAAGCTGTGTGCTATAATAGAGAGAGCAAAAAAACTGTCTTTGTAATTTACATCTTAGTGGTTTTACAGAGTTGTTAAAGTGTTCACAGCAATGATAACCGATCTGAACAATTTTTGTTTATTTCAGACTAAAGAACTGTTATTCTTTGAGACCTGCCCATAGTCCTTTATTGTGATGACAGAATCATTTGGCTAGCACTATAGAAAATAACTAAAATCCCATCATACTCTGATTTAAACAATTCCTTGGTATGTCCAGTCTGTTCTAGATGGTAGCAAACCAAAATGTGAAAACTCATGAGGCAAAAAAAATTGAATTAACAGCAAAGAAGCAGCTTTTGTGCACAAAACAAACCACTCCATGCCTGTAGTAATTAATGTCACAGGATAGGGAAGCACACTGACTCACAATACAAGCATGCAAAGCTTAAATAAAAGTGGAATGTGCCAATGTACACATTCTTTTAATTGTGCTAAAAGAAAATATTCTAGATTTGTCATCAGGAACATCAGATTTGAATTTACCTCTAATCAGAAGTTATTTCGTTAAACTTCGGCTCACTGAGAATTAAACTCAAATAATCAGAACTTAAAGACGAAGATGCATATCACATGTCATGTCACAGTTGACTACAATCATGATGAGAAACAAAGTTGAGCCATTTTGGACATTTCTTGAAAATGTGTGCAATTTCATGCACTATATTGTGACGTCACGCTCAAATTATGTACTGTGAACGACTCCCAGCTACTACCACTTCAAATTTCAGCACAATATCCGTAAAACTGACAGAACTACAACACTTGTGATTGCAGGATTTCTCTGTTTGGAGCCCCGGAAATAGCTTATGCTACGCAGGAAATGACGTAAGTGACGTATCATGCGAGGCTCGTCGGCTTCTTCAAACAAAACCTGTCCGGCGAGTTTACTGTTCGAGCCCCGTGGAGTCGTTTGGACATTATTCTCCGAGAAAAACAGGACAAAATGCACGACTAGAATTATTGTTAGTTGAAAGCTGAACGGCTCGGTGCTTTCTTTAGGCAGATAAGGAGGATGGTGTCTTAAAAAATCTACGTCAACAGGACAAAACAAGATTACAGCACCTGGACAAGCAGGATGGATATTCGACGGAAAAAGAAACTGACTTTCCTCACCATAGGACTAATTTTTCTTTTTAGCGGTGTAGAATATGGTAAGACATCTTTTTAATTTTTAATTTGGCATTTTAGAACGTATTAAAGAACCCCCCATTTATTACAACACTTAATTAATTTAAATACCAGTAGGTCTACATATTTTATGTATGAACTCATGCCTTTGATTTACTCATCTGAGTTTTAAAATATCTTTAAAACAATAATAAATGTGGAGGGAAAATATTTAAGGTTTTACTTCAGTAACTGTGATTTCGTTAATCACATTATTTATGTATTTATTTTGCTTTTGCAGTAAAATAAAATCACAAATTGGTGCATCAGTATTTATTAGTCCATGACCTGGACTCTGTTGCAACATCACAGACACAATCCACAGCCTAACCAGGTTTACATCAACTCTGACCAAAGTCTGCTGTTGAAGAAAGAAAGATCTTTAAAATTGACACCCTCATTCTTCAGCATTAAACAACTTTTTTTGGACTAAAAAAAACTCAGTCAGGTGACAAGATTCATGGTCAGATGAGACACAAATCAAACTGGTCACAGTCAGTAGTGGGATGAGTAAAAGTGAGGGCTTAAACCACAAGACCACTGAACCATTCATCACTGAACTGAATAAAATTCAAAATTCCCATTAAGCACACGAGGGAGGATGCAATGTTGTTGGGTAATATTTTACACAGTTATTTCTGTCATGGTGGCAAAATAGTGTTATTACACAAACGCCAAGAGAGTTGAGTAATCACTTCCTCAATTCTTTCAGTGGGAGCATGCTTTATTTTGTGTCACCTGACTACGTTATTGAGTTTAGATTGTATTTGGTTTGGGGTCGTTCTTTGTTAGTGCGATAACAGCTGCAGGCAGAGAGAGAGAAAAGCATCTCAGTGGTCAAACTTTACCTTTACTCAGCAGGACTTGGAAGTGATAAGATATAATGTTGCAACACAATGACATAAACTAATCACTTGCTTTACCCTTGTTTTACCTTTTTTGGAGACGTTTGTCCAAAGCAGAGCATGAGCTGGCATATAAACATGATCTGTAAAGCTCTTCTTTTTCTTCCTTTAGCTGTCTGTTCATCCTCCTCCATCGCACTCTGTCCTCTGCATCCTCTGTCCTCACTCCAACTACCTCCATGTCCTCTCTAACGTCATCTCTGTTCCTCCTTTTTGTTATATTGTTTATTTGTCATATGCAGGTTAACACAGGGTCAACAGCGCAATGAAATGTCCAGGATGAGAAGAACTGATTCGACTCGCTAAGAACAAACAAACAGGAAATACTAAAGCATGTAATAAGGGTACAAAATAATGGACCAACAAGTGAAAAAATATATATATTTACAAGATCCAAAAGAAATCTAGTAAACAACAACATGGTAGAATATAACGGTGCAAGCAGGATGAATTTGCATTTCACAGGTAGTAAAATAAGCTTGAATGCACATGGTGTATATTGCACAACTAACATATTTCATTTAGCCTTTATTTATACAGGTTAGTCTCATTGAGCCACAAGAACTCATTTTCAAGAGAGACCTGTTTAGGGAGCACATGGTGGGGGTTAAGGGCCTTGCTCATGGGCCCAGAGTGGGGCGAATGAGGGTGGGGGCAAGTGTGGGTGTTTCACCTACCCCACCCACAATTTTGATGTTGTCGGGGCCGGGGCGTGAATATACTGCACAGATTGTGTGACAGGTTATTGCACAGGTAGTGAGTAACGTGAGATTAATTATGATGGTAAGGTAGTGACATACATGATATATGGCAAATATGGCATCAGATATGACGTACATGATACAGCCACATAGGGTTCTAGAATAGTTCTAGAATACGTGTAGAATCCACACGTAGTTCTAGAATTGCGCCGCTCAAGGTGGCTGCATGTTGGAGCAGCTCTGTTACTTTCATTCTGAGATTTTGCTTTTGGAAACTTTAATTCCTCTTTTTCTGGATGTAAATCACATTTTTTGGATGATTGTTTCTTCTGGTATCAGATGCTGTGCAGCTGGAAGGATTTTTACTGAAACTTTTTTAGTTTTGGACATTTGTTATGATGCGTAACCATGGCAACAAGGCAGTTTTCTACAACCAACAGCAGCTGATTAACATCTCAAAAGCTCAAATAATATCTCAACTACAGCCCCAAATCTCAAATGAGTTGAGAAGGATGTACTGTGGACGCATTCTCATCTACCTGCCAGCTGTGCTCGAGTGCCTGACCACTCAGATCCTGGAACTGGCGGGAGACATGGCTCGTGACAGCAGAAGGACAGGATCGTCCCTCAGCACCTACAGGTGATGACCAAATCCCACGTGAGTTGAAAAGGAGGTGCTGTGGGCAAATTCCCGTCAACCTGGCGGTGGTGCTCGAGACCTCACCACCGAGATCCTGGAGCTGGTGAGAAACTCGGCTCGTGTGGAGCTCTGCAGACTGCTAGGAGGAGTGACCATCACTCAGGGAGGAATTCTGTCCGGCATTCGGGCAATCCTGCTGCCCAGGAGGACCGAGAGGCCCGCCGGATCTGACAGCAAGATGGATCTGGGTGGACGGATCGGTATCTGTGGCCAGATTCTTCAGCTTCACTGCAGGAGATCCTTCCTGCCCACAGCTATCAGCATGTATAACAGCTCTTGAATGAAACCAGGATGATGAGCTACGACAACACTTAATTTCCCTCTGGGATTAATAAAGTATTTTTGAATTGAATTGAATTGAATTGAATCAGCAATAAACATATTAAGTGTCACAGATGTGGCTTGGTGCAATGTTATTGTCAATAGTTCCGTATTATTATCAAGAGTTTATTAATCTGACTGCTTGTGGATAATAACTGTCTTTGAGTCTTTTCTTACGCGATGGCAGACTCCTGTATCGTCTGCCTGAGGGTAGTGCACGGAAGAGCCTTGTGCTGGGTGGGTGTGATCCTTAATGATGCTGCATGCTTTACGCAGACATCGGCTGTGGTAGATGTCCTGGGTGGTGTGGAGACTGCTACCAGTGATGTCCTCTGCTGTTTGCACCACCCTCTGTAGTGCTTTCCGGCTCTGACTGGTGCAGTTCCCGTACCACCCTGTGATGCAGCCTGTCAGCAGGCTCTCAATGATACACCTGTAAAAGTATAAAAGTTTGGCCTTCTTCTGTCTTTTTCCTGGCAGCTGCATTTCTAACAATCTTCTACCAATATACCAACTGTCCATCCTGTGCACATGCCCAAACCATCTCAGTCTGGTCTTTCTGACTTTTATCTTTTAGTCGTCCAACATGTGCTGTACCTCTGATCTCATTCCTAATCTAACTGATCATTTAGTTTATAATTTTTATTTTTTTAAATTTTTTATCACCCACAGTCAAAAGGCAAAAGTGGACAATATTTACCGGTATATATGTTTTAACCTGTGTTCTGTGGTTTGTATCCCTTCAATGATTACTAGGGTTTTAATTAATTTATTTTTTTAATTCAATTATCTTTTGTCTCCTCAGCTGTCATATTACCCACAATATGGAGGTATTTGCAGACTTTAGAAGCGGCACCTTATTTCTTGGGTTTAGCCCTGTCAGCGTTCAGTCTGAGTGGTCTTTTGGCAGGACCACTGTTTGGCCTCTTGTCAGACAGAACTCAAACAACAAAGAAAATCATTTTAGTTTCCAATCTTTTTGAGATTGTTGGTGAGTGCCACTCTTTACACTTCTTTCACCTGTGAGTGGGATTATTTGAACCCCACTGGTTATTCAGCCATTCAGATCTGAAGTTTGAGTGTAACCACTAGAATTTCTATTTTTCTGACCAGGTAACTTCATGTACTTCATTGGCTACTCCAAGTGGCTCTTACTGTCAAGTAGATTAGTAGCAGGTGAGTCCATTTTCAGGAACACTCACACAGATGATCAATTTGCATGTTAAATGTCTGTAGAATACATTGCAGCCTAAAATGGTAAGATTGCAGCATGCGTTGTGTTTTACATCAACGTTACTGTGCAAGAGTTCAAACGTTTCTTCATTTCTTCTTATTTCACTTCCAAGCTTTCTTGTGGTCTTTTAAAGAAGGTCTTTATCAAAAGTCCATCAGAGTTTCTGAAGGTCTTTCAAGAGTTTTGTTTGAATTTCAGTGGGTCCCAACCCTGGTCCTTGAGGAACACCATCCTTTCTTGGTTTAGTTGCTTCTCCGCTCCAATACTCCTGGTCTGAATGAACGGGTGCTTCTGCAGAACTTCAGCAAGTAATAAAATCACTGAATCAGGTGTGTTAAAGCAGAGAAACAACAAAAATATGCAGGATGGTGTTCCTCAAGGACCAGGGTTGGGAACCACTGGTTTAGAGTTTGATTCCTGATGTAGAACCGTTCTGTTTTCTAGTAAACTGAACAAGTTTTGCATAGAATTCAGGGCATGGGTTTGTCTGATCCACAGCACTTTGTCAAAAAATAAATAAATAACGCTTTGAAATCCAACCTGGACTTTTGTTAAAATTTAACTTTTTGTATAAAAATGAGTTTTCCTTCATATAAATACAGTTATTATTGTTTTTTCTTCAGGCATTGGTACAGGTGCTGGCTCATCCATTTTTGGCTTCCTGACCCGTAGCACGGCTCCAGAGGACCGGGCCACTGTTTTTGCTGCTGTCATGGCGTGCCGACAAGCTGGTCTTCTGATTGGTTAGGGCTTCAGAGCTTTTTAATCGTAATAATACAAAATATTTTATGAAAAGTTTAGTTTTTTGTATGATGGTAGTAATAGTTTGGGCTGCTGCTGCCTTTATCTCGATAATGTTGTGGTGTTTAAACTAATGTGATTAAAGTTGGATTTGTTTTGTTTACCACAGGTCCAGCATTTAACATTTTTCTAAGGCTGTGTAATTTTCATCTTGGTCCTTTTTTTGTCAATAAATTTACTGCACCTGGGGTAAGGAATGAACCATATCAGAGTGAAATTTAAGATAATATTTAACTTTTTGTTGTTGTTGCCTAAATATAAATCAAAACTCTTCTGTCTCCTACAGTTGTTTATGTTTGTGCTGTGGATTCTTCTTCAAGTGGCGGTTGTTTTTATGTACTGGGACTTACCACCTCTAGAAAAGAAGAGAGCCAGTGATGGACCAAAACTCAATAGAGAAGAGAATACACAGGGACCTTTAGATGACGAGGATGAAGGTGAGGAGGAGGTGAAACCGCTAATGTTGTCCCATGAGCTGGTGGGGTCTTACGGCTCCGTGGTGACGTCTCATCAATGCAAGAACCACACCACTTCTTTCTCTGGCGCCTCGCTCAATCGTATTCCTTCCCCTCCTGCCTCTCCTGAGCATTCACACTCCCAGAAGGCCCTTCCACCCTTCAAGAACACAGGCATATTCAGAGGTAACTGGCTGTTGTGATTCTTAAAAGAATAAAGTTTATTAAAAATAAAATACTTTAGCTTTTTTAACTTCAGTAACATCAAAATAGCTTTGTGTACTTACTAGCTACAAGGTGAATAACTGCTGATTTATGGCAAATGACTTACTGATTTAGATGTGCTAATACTTTAAATAGGATAACTGTATTTCTACAAAAAAAATAATGTATTATTTTTGTAATTTTGCTGTAATCTCATTTTCTTTTTGATTCAGACTTCCTGAAAGAAGAGGTGGTCGTTCTGCTATCTGCTCAATTCATCACCCTTTTTAATCAGACCGCTCTTGAGGTGCAATGATGTCCCACAAACATACAAATCCATTTAAATCATATGACTCAACGCTAGACGTAGCTCTGTTGGTATAGTTGTAAGAAACATGACGTGAAACTCTTGATTTACCCAGATTTCTGATTTTAGTTTTCAAAGAGCTTGGTTAAGCTTTAAGTATGTCTGCTCAGTTCTACAACGGCAAACTTTCTTGAGATTAACAAACTTTTGTCTGGATATAATTAACTTTAATTGTGTTTTTTTAAAGCAACCCACATTTTAAAACATTCTTCAACTTTTTCTTCCTGCAGACTAAATATGTTGTTACATTTCCTCCCCTCAGACTATGGTGACACCCTTAACTCAAAAATATTTTAACTTCGGAGAGCTGGAGAACAGCGTGATGTACTGCTTATGTGGTGTGGTGGTGATCGCTGGGTTCCTGTTTGTCCGCTGGCTGAGCCGCCATGTTGCAGACCGGGTGGTCCTTGCTATTGGTCTGATCATCTGCAACATCTCCTGTATTTGGTGCCTCATATTCCTGGCTAACCCTTCAGGTCAGACGAACCCTTTTGTCTCAAATCTGTTGCTGTCTGGTTCAGATGGTGCATTTTTAACACATGGATGGAAATGTTTCTCCATTTTTTTTATTTAGGTGGGTTTTCATGGCAACTGACAGAGTTCATCATCGGGGTGTTTCTACAGGTTTTGGGTTTACCTTTCGTAGCCGTGGCTCAGGTTTCCCTCTTCTCCAAAGTTACTGCTGAGAAAACACAAGGTGAGAAACAGCCCCACCTACTGGACACTAGTTCTAATACATTCTTTAAAATGTTTTTTTTTTTGCTCGTCTGGGTGTGTCTGTTAGCAAAATATCTCATGAACCAGTGGACAGATTTTAGTAAAACTGCCAGAAAGTAACGACTAAAGGAACAGCTACCACTGGTTATCTTTTGAAGTTAACTTTATTCAAAGTTTTTGCTATAGCTAATCAAATTTATAAAACACAAAGTGGCAACAAATCAGTCGGTTTTACAGATATTGAGCTACAATTTTATGTGGTAGTAAGCTGAGAGTCATCCCCATCATAAACTCTAAGCACTAACAGATCACTCGAGGTTGTTGTTCAAAGCTCTGCCACAAACTATTGGAATCAACACTGTCTGCCTGTTAGTCAAATATCTAATAAACTACACGACAGATTTTAATGAAGCTTTCAGAAAGTAACTTTGGTTGTATATGTACGACTGAATATTTTTTGGTGCCAACAGAATTCAAAATGGCCACCACAGCCTTCTGATCTTACAAATAAAACAACTGGCTGTTATTCAGCCAGTTTTTCTGATATCGAGCTCAGATTTGATGTGGCAGCAGCCGAGAGTCATCCCAAATTCTAGTTCTAGAATTGCGCCGCTCAAGGTTGCTGCATGTTGGAGTAGCTCTCGTACATTCATTCTGAGATTTAGCCTTTGGAAACTTTAATTACTCTTCTAGATGTAAATGGCTTTTTCCGTATGATTACGTCCTCTGGTATTGGATGCTGTGCTGCTGGAAGGATTTTTAATGAAACCTTTTTTTTTATTTTTGGACATTTGTTATGATGCGTAACCATAACAACAAGGTGTTTTTCTACAACTGGGAGCTGCTGATTAACATCTCAAAAGTTCAAAAATACCTCAACTACAGCCCCAAATCCTATATGAGTTGAAAAGGAGGTGTTGTTGATGCATTTCCGTCTACCTGGAAGCTGTGCTCTAGTGCTTGATCGCCGAGATCTTGGAGGTTGCAGGAAACGTGGCTCCTAAAAGTGGGGGGACCAAGATTGTCCCCCGGCACCTGCAGCTAAGTCTGTGGCGACAAAGGGTCCAGCAGGCTGCTGGGAGAAATGGCCATCGCTCAGGGAGGAGTTCTGCCCAGCATTCCTGCAGTCCTGCTGTCCAAGAGGACAGAGAGATCTGCTGGGTCTGGGTGGACGGCTCGGCGTCTGCAGCCAGTTTCTTTGGATCCACTTTTGGACGAACTGTTACAAGAGATCCTACCTGCCCAAAGCCATCAGCATCTGAACAACTCTAATGAAACTAGGATGATGAGCTACAACAACAACAACTAATTTCCCTTTGGGATTAATCAAGTAATTTTGAATTTGAATTGAATTAAAACACATACTTGACACCTTGCATGTTATTTTCAAGATTTGTCCAAAATCACTAAGTCTGTCATTCCTCAACATAAGCTGAGCTTAAATTAAAACTTTGGCAGGAATGAAGACATATGATGTGTTTCTCCAAGGAATTGTAGGCCTTTAATTTCTTCTCAGCAGCTTATTCACTCAGATTATTTGATGGTATTATGTTTAATTCAGTAACGTGCATGATATTTATGTCTGCCCCTGCAGGCTTCAGTCAGGGTATACGCCGCTCGGTGGGGGGTCTGGCTACCATCCTGGGCCCTCTGTGGGCCGGTGGGCTCACTGACAACATGTATATAATGATGGGAGCAATGGTGGCACTACTGGTACTGCTGACGGTAGGTACAACTCATATAGTACAGAATAAAAAACAGCAATAGTCTGTATCTGAGTCATGGTCTCTTATTGTTTATACAAACAAAAGATGTGATCAAATCTAAGTGAAGTCCTTCAGACTGTTAACTGGTCCTATAATTCCTTCTCTTTTAGCTTCCTTAAAGTACCAGTAAATGTTTTTATGCAACAAAATTATAATTATGGCAAAATTAGTATGCCCACCTAATTATTAAATTAGTGATTTTCATTATTGCTCGAGGTTCAGCAGAAAACCACCTTAATTATTCCATTTTCATCAGATTTGAAACAATTATCTGGTTTATTTCAGTTTGATTTCTATAAATGAAAAGTTTATAGTCTTTGTGGAAGTCATTATCAAAATATTTTGTCAAAAATAGAATGCAATTTAAGTTTGATTTAATATTTACTTGTCTTTTGTTGCATTTTTAATTTTTTTTTTTAAATTAAATCAGATGTGTTTATATTTCCTATGCAGGTGATGTTGGCTTTTTCCTATAACCGGCTGCTGGAACCTTCAGCAGAGCCAATGGACGCCTCGGACAGCTGCGTTAAGAGCTGCAGGTGTTTGATGCAGGAAAAACTCTAAGGTAGAGTAACTTTAAATATCTTCTCTTCCGTTTTATTCATTTTTAACATAAAATAAGATCAGAATCATTTATGCAATTTGGATTCAGCTGCTCAAAATATATATTTTTTTACCAAAAAAAAAAGGAATCAAGAAAAATGTAATTATGTTCAGCTGAAAAAAAAAAGTCAAAGGTTTGATATTTTTGTATTACGTGTACGTTAACAAATATTGTTTTTATTATTTTATTTGACTTAATGTGTTTAGAAATTTGAATATATTTTATTCACCTTACTATGGAAAATGGTACAAATTTTATTATCACATATGTGACCACGCATTTCTTACTTCTTGGAGTATACAATCAGAAAAGAAAACAAAAAAAAAAAGAAAAATAGATTTTTGTTATTTTATAAAGTCTTTAGTTGTCAGTTTAACTGAGCATTTTGAATGTCTGTCATTTGACTGATGAAGCCTTCTGGATGGAAGGTGAAACGTTTCAGCAAAAAAAAAGAAACTGTCCAGATGACCTGACTGAAACTTGTTGGATTGTATACCTGGATTATTGAGCATGGACTTTTTTGGTTTTGAACCAGTTTGACATGTCTGTTGACGAGGAAGAGGGACAAGAGGAGGGGGCGTGTCAAAGACACCATCTTAGCACCAACATAACTGGTTTGTTCCACTTTGGAGTCAGCTGTTTGGGGGAAGAATCAGCTTTGTGTTGTGGGTTTCCTTGACTGATGAAGCCTTCTGGATGGAAGGTGAAATGTTTTAGCAAAAAAAAAAAAGAAACTGTCCAGATGACCTGACTGAAAATTGTTGGAATGTTGTTTCCTTTTGTTTCCTTTAATAAACAGAAGCCAAGATTCAACTTGTCTGCTGGATTCCTTAGATAGAGAACTTTACTAATTGGCTTTTATGTATGTGAATGTTTCAGTCAAGTGTCCTGAGACAACTTTGTTGTGATTTGGCGCTATATAAATAAACTGAACTGAATCGTTTCCTTTAATAAACAGAACATAGTTCCGGATGTATGAGCAGCGGACATGTGCAGCTAATGTGCAACCATTTGTTTTTGTGCTCTGATGTCAACTTAGTGAGCAGCATTTGGCTTTTCGAGTCATATTTTCTGAGCCGGAGCTAACCATATTTCTGTAAGCAACAGCTTTAAAAAAGTTTCTCTGCTCTGGCTTGAAGCCTAAATAAATACAATTTTTATTTTAAGGAAAGAACCCGGGGGCAGACCCAGAACTCACTGAAGAAGTTCTATATTCTCTCTGGCCTGGGAGCACCTTGGGTGGTGCTGGAGGAGCTGGATGTGTCACCAGGGAGAGGGATGTCTGAGCTTCTCTCCTGGACCTGATGCCTCTGCGACCCCACCACAGATAACTGGTAGAAGATGGATGGACTTTAAAGAACAGGCTTTCCACCTTAAGCCTAAGGCTTTAATGCAGGCGCTCTGAACGTTTAAGATTGAGAAAATTGGAAGGTTTTTCTTAAATTTTAAAATTCACCAAAAAAAAAAAAAAAAATCTGTATTTTTTTTTAACCACTGAAGAAACTAGAAACATTTGAAATGTAAAAGATTGTATTATAAATTGTTGACTTTTGTCCCTATGTCGTATTATTTTTTTAATTGCGTATGTATTTTTGAAGAGTTGAGTTGACATTTATGATTCATCAGACATAAATTATAAAGGAGTCAAGACATGTGTTGTAAAATTGTACTCTCTGGACAATTATATCTTGAGCAATGCATCTTTAACGTTATGCCTTGAATATCCAAATGGGTTTTATAATCAATATTTAAATTTGAATCTGTTTTTGCAAGTTAAATACTGAGATGTTCCATATGGAATATTTTCTTGCCACTGGTCCTAGAAGAAGAAAAGATCTTAAGTGCAAAATAGCCCAAATGTGACCCCCCTTTCTGTGTGTTTTTTTTTTTTTTACACCCTAATATGAACTTCAAAAACAAAGTTTGACAAATTTAAGGGACTCCACTGTCAGCTAATTAATGCAACCAATGCAAGATGTCAGTGAAAATGTTGCTATATCACTGATATTACACATTAAACTACTAAAATAAGCTGCCTTTTGTAATTCATAACAGACTTTTTATAACCAGCCTCATTGGATTTTTAGGAATTGTTTCATGCAATGCATATTTTCTACACCAGTGGGCGCTCTTGGACTTCCATAATTGTGTGGAACGAGTCCAGCAAGCAGAGTTAATTTTTACTGTTTATTGTGAAGGAAACAAACACTACTGAAAATCCGTTTCACAAAATTTAATGTACTTGTTTGGAGAGGAGGCGCAGAAAATACACATCAGTTTACATACAGACAAATACTAAAAAATACAATATTACAGAATGACATTATTTATTTCTTATTTATTAAGAACAGAACAAGAAGTTTACTTGCGAGCACAGAATGATGAGCTGTGGTAGCTCAGTGGTCAGTGCCGTGGTCTCAGGAATCTCGAGGGTGCGGGTTCGAGCCCAGGCTGTGTTAAGGACATCCGGCGTAAATCAGTTGTCAAATCTTTTCTGTTGTTCACTCGATGTGGTGACTCCTGCACAAGGGAGCAGTCTAAAGAAAAACTTGTGAGCACAGAGTGACTTTTAAAAAATAAAAAATATAAACCCTGAGTTATGTTTCATTATTTCCCCCCATGTGTCTGTGATGCTTTGTTAAATTTGATTAATTCGACAGATTTTAGTTTGGTAAAACTTTAGTTTTAGGGATCTGCTTATTAAAAAATAAAATAAAACAAATCACATCCAACAAATAATGAATCAAAGTCCATTATAGACTTATTTATGTTAGCGTTAACAATTTTTTTTTTTTTATAGAGAAGTTTTATTCAGATTTGCAGATAATTATGTTAAACATTATTTTCCATAAATGTATTTAGTTCAATAAAGTGTAAATTAGTCTTAGCTGAAGTTCTGTGCTGCCTGTTGAATTATATTAAAAAATAGATTTGAAATCTTGTGACATTTAGGATTAATGATTACCTGTTGTTGAATTTGTTCCATATTTATTCAGCTTAAATAAGTGATGTATTTTTTATATTAAATATGTAAAATTCTAATTCTAATGTGAATATATTGGTTTTTTTTTTTTAGGTTTTCTTTAAATTATAATGTAAAGTAAATTAATTTGACAAAGTGGAATATTATATGCTGTGCAATGTTTTATTCACTATATAAATAATTAGCATAAATAAACTTTAGACATCATCTTCAACCCTCAGAATATATATAAATATTAACCAAATATCATAACGTGAAAAGAGTATGTTAAATTATATTTGTATTTAAAAAAAAAAAATAAAAAGGGTTTCTTATAAGAAAATAATAAAAAACTTAAATAATTTAAAACAGAAATATTTTACTTTTTTAAATGTTGCATTTTATATTTTATTTCAGAAATAAGTAAAAAAAAAAACTACAATTCAAATCAATAAGAAAAAATAAAACACCTATTTTGAGATGGTTGAATACAATCTTGACATCAAAAATAAGATCTAAAACACTTGAAGAACAAGTAAGATCCTTAAAGTCATCTTTTCCTCATTTCAGTAATCACCGTAATGCAAATATAATGTTTTAGGAAACTAGAGAATTCAAGTACATTAAAAAAAATAATAAGATTGATATTAAATAATACATTTAGCAAAAAATAAACAATAAAAAGGTGGTTAAATTTAATTTATACCTAACATTAATATTAACTTAAATGTTATTCAGTATATAAAACAGTTACAGAATAAAGGAACCACAAGTTAAGACATTAAAAAAAAAAATACATAAAATAAACCAAACTGTTGGTTTGGCTCCATCAGAGGTCGCTGTGACGTCGCCACAAGTGTGGTGCTGATGACAACACATCGACTGCTTAGTGACGTGGTGGCGAAGGGGCGTGGCCTGTTACGTTGAACTTTAGTTGAACCTGTTTAATGTTGGGCGGGGCCAGCTCAGAGAAGTTACGACACAAGGCCAGTAACAGGGATATTTTGGGGTTTTTCCTTTTTTCTTAATTTGACTGAATCCCTACACCCATCCTACACACACACACATACACACACACACACAATTCCAAAACACAGTTGGCCTGGAGCGGCACTCTGACCGACGAGTGACCCTGCGTATCGGGGTCGAAAGTGCAGAACACGTCATGCATCATAACCGTTTTCTTGGTGAATTTGGTGAACTCGCTCCTCCTCTTTCCTCTCCAATCCCAGACCTGCAACCAAATTCAGCTCGGATGACAGCCGTGAACTTCTGGTGAACTTGTTTTTACCTCAACCAGACTGGCGAGCAAGGGCAGGTGGAGTTTAGTAGGCCTTCGATGTTTGTTATCGTTTTAATCATTTTATTATCTTTTTCATCTCCCCGGGCTGGAACATTTATCGACTCCTAAAAAACTAGGTTGGTATGAGATGATGCACTGCAGCAGGGACTTTTTGGGACAATGCAGCTTAACCCAACTCGTGTATTCCCTTTTGTTGAGTGGGGACAAACCCTAACGAGGCCTGGAATTTAAATAATGACCACCTGCGCAGGAAGTCCGATTTGACTCCTAAATACTTATTAAAAGCATGTTATCAGAACGAGGAGAAAAAACATCCATTAAAGTGTGCATGAGTAAGCTGGAATAGAAACAAAAGAATAAAATGTTTTGAAGTGAGCAACAGTTTAGTTTCTGTGTGGGCTCATTAAAGATATAATCTGGTCAGTTTATTATAGTTTTGTTCTGTCGTCAATCACAGAACATGATGGATGAAGAAAAGAGCAGAAATCTTGCTTCATGTTCCATGAAATCATTCCCTACAGGAAACTAAACATATAAACACGATTGTTAAATCCTGTTTTTTCAGTTGTGGCGATTGTCTGAATTGAAGCCCATATTGTCCAGAAGTAAACTTGAGACAGTAAGACACGCTTTCATAACATCCAGGCTCGATTACTGCAGTGCACTTCTATTTGGAATCAGTCGGCCTCCATTGCACATTTACAACTGGTCCAAAATGCTGCAGCCCGATTTTAAACTGGTACAGGAAAAAGAGAGCACAATAGACCGGTTCTGGCCTCCTTTCACTGGCTCCCAGTTCACTTTCAAATTCGTTAAAAAAAATCTTTCTGTGTGTTTTTAAATTTCTGAACAGTTCTGCCCCCTCTTATCTCACTGATCTGCTGCAGCCACGTGTCCCACAGCGCTCTCTGAGGTCGGCGGACCTGATGCTTTCATTGGTTCAAGGCACTCGTTTTAAGCTCAGTGGTGACAGGACTTTCTTCATTGCACGTCTAAAACTGTGGAACGAGTTACCACTTCATGTCAGACTGGTTCGATCTCTCACAAATTTTAAGTCTTGTTTAATTTTTTTTAATATATATATTTAAATTTTATTCCCTGTCTTTTGACACTGTGTGAGTTAATTTTACCTTGTTTGTATTCTATAATGTTAGTCATTTAGTTTTTATCTTTACCTCTGTGGATCTATGTATTTTATCCGGTGTCCTTTGCTTGTTTTGTTTTTGCGTACAGCTCTTTGGTTGGCCTTGTTGCTGTTTTAAGTGTTTGATAAATAAGGTGATATGGTCTTTTGGCTTCTGGCTAGTTTCAACAAGTAGCATTACTATATTTGCTTATACTGTTTTTCCCATTAGTATGAACTTCTTCAAAAATAAACGTTTTAAAATAGCCTGACAGATGAGAGAAAACACCCTCACTAAGCTAGCCATTAGCCTAGCCCAGGGGTCTGCAACCTGCGGCTCTGGAGCCACATGCGGCTCTCTGGTTCCTCTGCAGCGGCTCTTTCAAGCTTTGACCAAAACTAACATAAAACTGAATTTTATTGGTTATTACACAAACAATAAAAAAATACTGGTTTTAGCTGTTTTCCTGTCATTTCTTTTGCAAATACTCACTTTAATTTTTTTTGCTTTATTTCTATGATTAATTATTTTTTCCACAATTAAAAAAAATCGCATAGGTCTGCATAGTTCATAGTTAAAAAAAAATATATATATTATTTAAAAAAAAAAATCCCCCTCTTTACAATAATCTGGTCTTTTCAATTGTCTTAAAATGTAAAAATATCAATAAATGTTAAAAATCATTAGATATTTTTAGCTTTATAATGTCATCACTACTGGCCACAAAAGTCTCCTCCAACAAACGTGAAGTGGCCCATGAGTCACCAGTTGATAATCACAGTTGTAGCATGTTGTTGCGGCTCTGGACACATTTCATTCAGTGAATGAAGGTGTAAAAATGGCTTCTTTGTTCATAAAGGTTGCAGATCCCTGGACTGTAGAAATACTTCTTCCATTATTTTATACTTTGTGGCTGGCTGTCACAACTGATAAGGTACTAAATACTGATAACTACTGTATTTGCAGAATACCACTTCAAACATGAGCAGAGATCCCTTTATTTTAACAGTGGTATATTATGTGCATACTTACACTTTTTCTGGTTATTCCTTTCACTTTTTGTTGAAGTTAAAACACCAACATGACTTGGTTGAGGTCAAAAAT